GAAGGTGGGATGGGTTAATTATATTATATTATAATCAAATATTTAATAATAAATTAATTTAATAATTTACTATTTCATAAATAATAATTTAAAAAAATTTAAAAAAAATCTGATTTTGGTAACTTTAAACTTGTATTCTTATTTTTGAAATAGACTAAACTTATACTTTTGAATATGTAATCTTTCCAATAATTAAAGGTAACTTAAAAAATACCCTTAAAATTAAAGTCTTTTGAAAATCATATAAAACATAGTTTGAAAGTAAAAAATACTTTATAAAATCAATTGTTACTTTTTTAATAGAAAAAGTGACACAGTAAAAAAAAAGTGACACGCTGTCACATTTTAAAGTTAAGTGTCACTTTTTTATTAAAAAAGACATAAAATATCATTTTTAATAAAAATTGATGTTTGTCACTAAAAAAAAGTGATAGAAATAAACTGAAAAAAGTGATAAATACTAAAAAAAAATTGATGAATTCAAAAAGTGGCACAAATTAAAAGAAATTATACAAATTAAAAAAGTGAGGAACAATAAAAAAAGTGACACTTGAAAAACATAAGTTTGTCACTTTTTTTGTCACAGAAATTAAAAAAGAATAAGAGTAACGAACAATAAAAAAAAAAAGAAGGTGTTCACCGCCACTATAAGCCATTCCATAAGAGAAATAAATGTTCTGCAAATGGCTCTCACTCAAACTCCCAATTTAGTGATACTGATTATGATCATATTTGTTCAAAATCCTGACCAAATTATCAGTTACAAATACAGTATCACCATCTCACATTCGAGAAATACCATTCCCAATTTTAATGTCTCCGATACAATTCGAGAAATCCAAATGGCAGGCCGATGTCCCTGCTTGTTCTTGTAAGGAAAACGCGAAGTGTTGGCAGAGATTCTCAGTTCTGGGAGGTTCTCACTCTTATTGGGGTATGTTTTTCAAACGGTTGTCAAGCCAAACAATGCCCTTCATTTCGGGCTTCCACCATAACTTTATGTACTCCTTCCATTTTTCCCACAGCTTAGTCGACGCTCCAATGCCACAAACTATGTGTTGCAATCTGGTTTTTTCAACACTTTCTTCTGGTTTTATGCTCAATTGCAGAGGATAGATTGTGGTGTTTTGGATCGAAACCAATTTTATGCTATTGTGTCAGAGAGTGAAAATATCTTCGTTACAACTGTGGCACTACCTCCTTCTCTCCAGCGTCGTTGATGGGTTTTACATCTTCTCCACTTACAGGTGGGTTTTGACATTTGAGCGTGTTTATTACGGGGAGTAGAAAATTTAATTAGTTTTAGGGTATTATTCTAATTTGTTATTTTTTGAGGACAATAGACCTAATTATCCCAATAATTAATTGACAAAAATAGCATAACCTTAGAGCCTGTATACACGTGTTAGACTTCTATGAGCAATCATGCTAACTATATTCTTTTTTTCATGATTGTCACCTCTTGATTACGGTCGAGAAGACCACATTTAGCCCTTGTTTGGTAGATTTTAATTTCAATCTAAATCAACAATTAATTTTAATCACATATTTGGTGAGATTCCCAACATTTCAACTATATATTTTATCAATTTTTTTCAAAATATGTTAAAAATCTAACTTAAATTACCATCAAACATGTGTTTAATTTTTTTAAAGAACATTTCGCCTATGTTTGGTTGCCATTTTTTTCAAAACTCATTTCAATCACACATTTTTCCATAAAATAATATGACACGTAAATCGAAAATCTTACTTTATTTTTTAACCACATATTCTCCAAAAAAATCAATATTTCAAAGCGCATTCTCTCCCAAATTTCCATTAAAATGGACCCCGAACAAGGGCTTAATATATTATTTGATTTGATTAAATATATTTGTATGAAAGTATAAAGAGATAATGGAATTGAAAAATATTTGGCAATAGAAATATCATTCAGATTATAAATTTTAAAAATGTTTGCAATCCAATTTGTTTTGATAATATCTTTAGTTTTGAATTCTTCATATATGTACATTCTTAACACTAATTTAACTCCTGGTTAATGGGAATTAATATCAACAATTATTTTAACATATATTTTATGGGACTTACAACTTTTCGACCGCATATTTCATTAATTTTTATCAGAATTTATTAAAAATATAATTTTAATCCCCATCAAACAAGTGCTTAATTTATCAACCCGTTCTTGAATTGAAACTTTAAGAATTATTTAGTTTATTGCAGCGTTACATCTTAAATTAATCTATTTAAATTTGTTTTTATTTTTGGGTAGGTGATATTTGTGTGAAGATGTGACAAGGAATCAAGATCACATACAATTTTGGTTCATTTGCTTTGGAAATTTTGTCCAATGATTAATGGAGTGCAAAGAACATTCTTAAGTTACATGCATGTTGATGGAGTTCAATCAGTCATATCATAATATATGGACAATTGTATATCTATATATCCAAAGGAAGATCAAATATGTGGACTTCAACATCCTTTAGTCAAACTCATACCGACTGTCCAAGCCTTATAATCCTTGTTGATAAAATGTGCTTCCCAATTGATTGGGTTGACTTTGCTTATGTTTTAGTAAAAAAAAAAAAAGGAATTTCATAAATGGCTTTTTGTCTTATTAATTGGAGTGATCCGAACTATACACGTGGCTTAATGAAAGTCGTTGGATGGCTTTTGCCTATTTCTTATAAAAGGCAATAATCCTAATCTACATACATGAGCGTGTGCGCAACTTTTTGAGTTTTCTCTCGTGTTTTTCTTTGGAAATCTTGATTGAATTTTGTGTACTTAGTGTAGGCAAATGAGAAGACTGATTTGTTTACCTTGGTGAACAATTTGTGTAATTTGAGCGAGACGAGAGAAAGATGAAAGTAATATAAGATATCTTCACATGTTCATATTGAATGATGATTGAAAACTTGATCTATTTGTAGATGTTCTATGGATTAGTAATATTTAGAAGAACATGAACTTTCGGACTCGTTAGTAGGTGAAAAGATTTTATGTTCATTTTTTAATTTTCTACGAATTCTACTTTGACATTTTTGGTTTAAACAATATATTGGAGCCAACAAGTGGTATTGATTGGAGTAGGTACACTAAATTTTAATATGGTTTTTGGCTTTGAAATTGAAACTTTCGTTGTTTCTATAAAAAATTCCTGAACCATTTCAGATCTAAATTTTTTTGTGGAAAGAAACTTATTTTCAAAGTATTTGTCGTCTGGTCTCTCTTCGATTCAACTTTTGGTTGGATCTCTCAAAGGTTTTTTGTTGTACCTATGGTGATTTGTTGAGATCTTAAGCGATTTTTGGGTAACTCGTTATGAATCCGTTGATTAATGTTGTTTTCACTCCTAGTTCTTGATGGGTTAGTATTAAATCATCCTAATTTCTTGGTGGTTCTTGGTGACTCATTCCTCATTCTTGGTGAATTGTGGTAACTCGCCCTAATTTCTGACAATTCTTGGTGAGTCATTCTTGATTCTTGGTGAGTTGTGGTAACTTTCCCTAATTTCTGATAATTCTTGGTGAGTTGTTCCTGATTCTTATTGAGTTGTGGTAACTTGTCCTAATTTCTAGTGATTCTTGGTGATTGGTTCTTGATTCTTGGTGAGTTGTGGTAACTCGCCCTAGTTTTTGGCAATTCTTTGTGACTCACTCCTAGTTCCTGCTAAATTGAGGCAACTCGTTCTATAGTTGAACAATTTCTGATATTTAACTCTGTCTATGTTGAGTGATTCAGTTGATTCTGCAATTCTTGATCCTATTTCGGTATTCTTGTATACTCTGCTTGTAATTGAAACCTATGGTTTCAAATTTGGTACGATGTAACCCTACTCTCTTAGTTTTCATTTCATATATATACATATCTATTGTGAGGTTATTAAGGTAATAAGACTACTAGTATTTTTTTTTTTTTTTGTCCATTATCTCCCGCGAGGATCTAGGAATATGAGAAAACACTGAATAAAAGAGTTTTAAGTCCTTAAACCTCACTCAATTGCAATTTCTCTTTAAAAAAAAAAAAAAAAACTTTGGTTATCTGCTAAAATCTTATTACTGATTATATATTTTTACTATGTAAGTTTACAAAATTAATTAAAGACTTGACAAGCTGTGATGAAAAAATGTCAGATGAGTAACAAGTTGTAGCCTATTGAACTCATTAGGGGATGAGTAAAGAGAAATAACTTCCCTTTGGAATATGGGAGAGATGAACTCACAGTGAATATAATTATCTCAGCCATGAGGAATAGGGAATTTGAATTGAAAGCGGTTTTAAAGACACAAAAAATTGGTGAGCGTTTAACTGTAAAAGAAAAGTCGACAAATAAAAGTTATGAATTTAGTAATTATAACTCATACAAGAAAGGAAAAGGACAGACGGGAAAGAATTAAAACAAGAACAAAAATAAAGAAAAATATAAAGGAAAGGTTAAAAAGTTTTATTATTGTGGAAAAACTGAGCATTTCAAAAAAAAAAAAATTCAAAAAAGTTGCTAACATGTAAGATAAGATAAATAATGATGGTTCAGTAGCCCCCAGGGCATATCTCCCAGTGGCAAAGGGGAGGGCGGTTAGGGCTCAGCGCGGTAGTGTGCAGAGTTCGATTCCCCGCAAGGTGGAATTGGCTTTGTTGCAAGCGGGAGTTACCATAGGGTTAATAGCACAGGCCTATCCATAAGCTCTTCACCCTGGCTCCTGGGAGGCACATCCTGCGATTTACCTCCCCCACAATGGTCCAGGGCAGGGTCGATGGGGGCCCTCAAGGTTGGGGTTCAACTTTAATAATGATGGTTCAGTAGCTATAGCTTGCAACAATGACTGAAAGACATGGAGTTGTCTTAGGGACGGTTCTATTTGTATTTTGTATTTTGAGTTTTGAATTGATTTTGAGTTTTGTGTTTTGAGTGTTCATTTTGAAATTGTTGAAAATGTGTCATTTTTGACATTTTGAAAATTATTTTGAAAATACCCAAAACGCGTTTTGAAAATTTTAGCTTTATTATAACTGAAAACACCCAAAAATTTTGTGTATTCTTTGTAAATTTTTAACTTGTTTTAAAAAACGCGTTTTTGAAAATAAGAAAAGAAACTCGTTTTCACTGTTTTGAAAAATCGAAAACAGAAAACGACTTGAAAATGGTAAAGAGAACAGACCCTTAGTGACTCCAACTGAAAAAAGTACCAATGAATAGGCACTTGATTCTTGGTACTTTCCACAAGTAGGCCCTATTAAAGAATGGCTTACTGAAGTTATTAATGTAAATGGTGGACAAATCAAATAGGAAGTGAAACGAGTTGTCAGATTAAAGGTATTGAAAAACTTATCTTGTAACAATCACATTCCCTACGAGAATTAGATAAGAGTATGATATAAGAATTCACAGAGACCTTATAAAAATCTTTTTGAATTTAAAAGAAGTGATTTCCACTTCTTAGTTGAATAGAATTTACTCTCTGCATATCATGCAATTAGTAGGCAATAGCTCTGGTGTAGTTAGTGCAAACTCTGATAAATCACTAATTTGGCATAAAAAGTTAGGTCATAAAAGTGATAAATGGCTTCAAATATTAAAGAAAAAAGGAGTTTTTGGAAAAGATAAAATTAATCGGCTTAAGTTTTGTGAAGAATGTATATTAGGAAAGCAAAATAGAATACCTCTCATGAGTGGCATTCATAAATCCAACTTTATTTGCTGATATTTGGGGACCAACTTCTATAAATACTCTTAGTAAGTTCAGGTTTTATCGATTGATTGTAGATGATTTTTCAAGAAAATTTTGGACCTTTTTGCTAAAAGCTAAATCTAACACTTTAAAAAACTTGAGCAATGGAAAAATATTGATTGAAAATCAAACTAATAAACACATTAAAGCACCTGGGACTAAAAATGGTCCTGAATTCTATAACATGAAGTTTGATTCCTTCTGTAAAGAATGTGGTATTCTAAGACGTAGAAAAATAGCATACATATCTCAAAAAAATGGTGTGACAAAAAGAATAAGTAGAACCTTATTGGAAAAAATAAGATGTAAGCTTTCAAGATGTGAACTTTCAAAATTGTTTTAGGGTAAGAACTGAGAAACTGCAACTTATATGATTAACAGAATTTGTGACGATTCGACCCTTCATGCCCAAACTATTAGATAGTACGTACTATTCGTTTTGGCAGAGCATATACTCATCTTACCCTTTACGGCTTTCT